CCCCCCCCCCTAATGAACTTTTGAAGAACTTATCAATCAACATCCATATGACCGAATTATGAATATAAAATTGAAAAGCATCCTTTTAAAGATTGAAATTGATAGCTAATCTCCGGCATCGAACGAGTTCGAACTCTCATTTTGCAGCATCTTTCTAGTAAGATGTTCAGATCTCTTTTTCGTTCCTCGTTAGAGGAACAACAACTAGCTGATTATACTAATTTATTACTTAATTGCCTTCTTTTAATCAACCTTTCAAGCCATGAAAGCGACATTCATACATAGTGCATGAACTCTTAATTAATACATCTTGATTTCACTCTTAATTAATACATCTTGATTTCATCGATCTTGCTTTAAATTTTTGTGATTAAATTTTCGTGATTGGTATGATATTCAATGCAATGATCTTGGCTTATGGGTTTATGGATTTTCTATCACTTTATCCACAATTTTATTTTATAGATTTTAAATGCATTCGTCATCATTAATTAAATCCTAAGGGCCTAAGTCTTTTAAGTCTTTCGGTAACTCGAGCATACATATAATTTTATCACTAAAATGTTAGTTAAAAACCCTAAGTTCCCCAAGTCTTTTGGTAACTCGAGATCAAAATCCAAAAAGTTAAAATTTTTTGTGTCAAGAATTAGAAATTAGTTTAAAACTAATTTCAATTTTTCCTATTAGTGCCAAATAAACTTGACCACAAAATTATGTTGAAATGTTAGGCATATTTAATCCAATCCTTGCTTGAAAAAGTAACTAAAACAAGTTATTCGTTATTCATAGATGCAATTTATAGCAAACAAAGAGTCTTATGTTGTATGTTTCCAACTCAGCTTGTTGGTTCTCGTTGAAGTGTTGGTTCAAAGTTTTGATGGTATGTGGAGTCTAAATTCAGAACTCCCTTAAAAAGAAAACGAATGGGAGAAAGAAAAAGCAAAGAATCAAATAAAGGTGTCGGTAAAAGAGGGATCACAAAGGATAATGATGGCTCAAATAGATCAGAGTTGGTATCAACATAACAACGTAACTAACAATTTTGTACCATTAAATGTGCGAGAGAGAAATGGTAACATTATTTCTCTTTCATATCCAATAATTAGCGAGAACAGACATATTTAATTAATCTACAATCGATAATTATTACGAGATAACCAGATTACGGTGATATGATTCAATAATTTAGCGGAATAAAGAGAGTACATGAAGGACGTACCAGCTGAAGTATGGCATAGAACATGTTTCCTAGGAGGGGAACTTAAATGAAAGACAGCTGGGGTGGTGGGGAAAAGACCCATAAGGGTGTGTTTGGTTCAGTGGAGGCTGTCACATATGAAATGGTGTGGGCCAGCAACAGCCCATGCTAAAATGACCATTGATATGGTTTGGGGGTCCCTTCACCCTCCACCAGCTTGACTTTTTGAGGCTCCCTTTTTATAATTTTCTTGCAGGTTCAGCTCATTTATTGGAAGCGTTTTAGTTGTGCACAATTATGGAGCAAGAGCCCCCATACTTCTGTAATGCCTGTGACATACTTCTGGTAAGGTATGCCCGACACATAGCTCAATAGTTAAGGTATTAATAATTTAACGTTTGATACACCACGTCTACATTATAAAATGCTATTATTGTAGAAACTAAAAGAAAGATCTAGATTGGTGTTTGCCCGTTCGAAGGACCACACCCTAACTATCATATCTGCAAGGTTGAAATCAAAATTTTAGGTCAATTATAAGTTGTATCTAACTTGTATGAATTTTAAAATTTTCTAAATAGATATTGACCTTGCAATTTTGTGTTTAATATATCTCAAGAATATATTAGACCTTTTAGACACACCTATCCCTCTCGTCTTTTGGATTTTGTACCTGCGATTTCTCGAGGCTGCCTGAGTTGTGGTTTGAGAACAGGTTTGGCTGAGGAGGCTTGAGCCTGAGACACTGTTCCTGCAGTCAAATGTTAAGAGTACGAGAACGGATTATATACAAATTTAAAAGTTCATGAACTAAACCTGTAACTTAAATCAAATTTCTCTAATCCACCGTATAGTCAATGCGTCGGGAATCAACAGATTTTCACAAAATCGATAGGAAAGAAAAAGGGAAGTGAAAGAAAATTGAGCAAATTGGCTCAAAAAGTTCAATCTGCAAGGTCTGTTAGTTTCAGTATATAGATAAGGTGTGAATGAATTGAGTCCCTTCGTATAGAAAATAAAACGAATTCTCCCCTACAGCTTCAATGGTAAAAAAACAAACTTTTGAGCTGAGTTCCAACTCTGTAATTTAGTAATCATGTGAAGATCTATACAGCATACTCTTTATCTTTATTGGGAAAGAAGCTCAGTTATCCTTATTTCTTGAGTAACTGGGTGGTGTCTGAAAGAAATCGAAGGAGGGACCTGACGCAAGAGATCTTCTAGTGGCAGTAGGAGAGTCTGATAAAAGAGGTTCGTAGACTGTATTTCTGCTCTTGGGCTGCTGAGTTATTGACAGTGGAGACACTTCTTTCTCAATGGGCCGAGGCTGGTGCTCTATGTTTTTGAGCGACATGATCGGCCCACCCAATCGTTCAGCCTGCTGAAGAGTGTTGATTTTGCTTGGTCTATATGTGTACCTGAAGTACTTGATAGCTAGAAGTGGGCCCATTCCCACGCCTACTATTAGCTGTAGACAAACCTTTTGTGTCAGTATAATCCTAACGAACTAACGTCTTCTCACACATCAACATTAAATTTTTTATGGCTGTATATAAAAAACATGCTACACAGGTATGTAACTAAGCATGGTTCACAACAAAAAGGTTAAATTGTGGTTTAGCCTCAACTTTCTATGTTTATACCCATAATAATGGTCTCTTAACTTAAAGGTATACCATAGATCTATGAGCTTGAACATTTGGTATATTTGACCTCATTAATAGAATTTTATGTAATAGAACCCTAAACTTTAAATTTCGTATTTAATAGAATAGTAAATTCTAAAAAAAGGTTGCATGGTGAAATTTTTTCGTATAATAGAATCCTAAACTTTTATTTTTTTTCTAGTAGATATGTGAATTTATAACATCTATTAGACACAACAATGAAAACTCGAAGACCTAGTAATCGATTTTTAAGATTTAGGTAATCAATGATAGGAAAGATTGGCCAAGGGAGACTTACAAATATGGTTATCCAGTAAGATGGTTGTCCACATAATCGAAACATTATTGTATACATTCCAGATGAAGGAATGGCACTGAAGATCCAATTGATCACGTAGAAAGCAGCTAAATTCCCCCATATAGCCAGATGTTGCAACATTGTGAATGAACTGCCAGAATCAATCAAATCTCAGATGGTATGGGAAAAAGGCAAGTCAAGATATGAAATTTCAGCTCAATAATCTTTAGACTTTGGTCGACGCTATAGAACGAGACTCATTACGAAATGACGTTGCAACATTTAACCTACAGCCAAAAGATGGGAGCTTACTTGGTCTCCAAAGTCACTACAAAAGCCTGTAACCAAATGCACCCAGATAGAGCCACCATTGAAACCTCCACCATTTCACTCTTTTCGTTAGCATAGGCATGGATGCTAATTACAAACACCACAACGGCCTGCAAAATTATCAGCACATTGAAAGATGAAACTTTTTTTTAACAAACATCAAGCATGATTTCTTACTCAAGAAAACATCAGTTCGTTGTTAGTAAGCATTGATATCTTTATAAATTGACGTCATATACTTCTCTTATAAATGGTTTTCGAGCATCAAGATGATAAAAACACCAACAACAAAAAATTGGATTCCATCTTTGGTGGATTATTTTTAAAATGATCGAAATGATTATTTTTAAACTAAAATTATGAAATACTTCACGAAAACAAACCAGTGTTCTAAAGTTAAGAAGTATCATACAAATATAATCACTTACATGAAATAGAGATCGACCAAACCATCCAGCAAATGTGCTGGGATTTAAAAGCCTGTTCAGATGACACACAGAAATCAGTAACCACCAAAGATGGAAAATGAATCTTTCCAAATACCAAGTAACTTGAAACTTTCCAACATAAAAATCCTCAGAGAAACATGAAAGCTTTTGAAATACGAACCTCCCAGCTTGGCAGTAAAATAAAATTTGAGGATGTTGCATCACT